ACTCGCCAGAACTCTGTAGAGCTCGTTGGGGAGGCAAACCATGTGTCAATGGCTGGATGTCGTGTTGGATGAAGGCTTGCACTCCATGCCGCAGGAATGGCCCTTTTTAATGCATCGTAATTGGTTTCTACTCTGTGCAGTCTGGGGAGTTTCCTGCGAAGCGCCTCCTGTGAGATCCAATCCTGCATAGAGGCATCCCACAGGTCTTTTAACTGTATTACTCCCCTAACCACCCAAGCTTTACCGAAGCTGCCCGGGGAATCTGCCGCTGAAAAGGTGGTCCCATCGGGATGGGTGATACGAGGGTTGTCAAAAATTGGTTGGTTCAAAATTTCCAGCCGAGTAGTAGGTTCTCTAAAGGTTGTTGGGCGAAGCTTATTCCAAGCATGTAAAATATGACGCCACACAGTAGACTTAGGCTTCCGTTGGGTAAAGGATGGCAGGTAGATGCAGGACCAAATATCCAAATGATCACAAAATCCCCATTCAGATCCCAATAGATATTCTGCCAGTAGTATCCAGGCCCTCGGACTATGTGCGTTAATGGCTAACACTGGCCATTTGGCGAGTACTGCCAGGTTCTGTTGTTTTGGGTCCAACAGGCCCAGGCCTCCTTGTTTCTTAGGGGTTGCTACTGTTTCCAAGGCAACCTTAGATACAAAACCCTGATCCTCAGTAGCTTCAGGTTTCCAAAGGAATTTTGCTGCACATCTTCTAATAGTGGCGTATGCTGCGTCCCCCAGTAGATGAACAGCAAGCACAAACCACAAAGTAGAAAATGCTGCAGCTGTCAGAACCAAAGCACGACCGAATAGGGATAAGAATTTACCTTTTGCCCATTTGCCAATCTTTTCCCCCACCTTCTTTTCCAGCAGATTGTCCTGAATGTTTGCACAGTTGAACGTTGCTACTTGGACTCCAAGCAGTCTTTCCGAAGCTCCTGCAGACAGGGACTTCATGCCCCAATCTTCCACAAAGGTGAACGGTTCTGGAAGGATGACTACGGATTTGTCCCAGTTAATAGACGCTTCTGAGAGGGTACAATAATTATCCAAGACTGCTCTCAACTCGCCTGCCGATTCCACTGAGTTCTCACAAGCTATTGTAATGTCATCCGCGATGGCCCCCCCCTTCCATTCAAAGGAGGGGGAAATACTCAGACCTCGTATTGATTCATTAAACCGAATGTTATCCAGCAAGATTTCAAGTTGTAAGACAAAGAGCAAGGGTGCCAGAGGACATCATTGCCGGAGGGACCGAGTTGAATTAAGTGCCCCGGAGAGATGTCCATTCACGTTAACCACCGCCGTGGCTCGCGAATACATGGCTTTAACTAACTTACAAAATACCGATCAAAAGCCCATGTGTGACAATGTTGTAGCAACAAAGACCCAGCC